GAATATAATGAACGGCACAGACTGATAAGCATCTGAGAACGCCTTTACTACCATGCTAGCAGTCAGCAGCTGTATGGTAATACAACCTGGGGCTATTGGGTAAGGATTTCTGGACTTATGTTCCTGATCCTCCACAGGTGGGAGCCCTTATCTGTGCTGAGCCTCCTGCCCAAAGTAGTCACTGATGATACCAAACACCTTGGTCATCCAGGAGGACCACGGGTGGGACAAAGAAGTATAATTACATAGGGGTCACCACCCAACTGCCATTCTGTATGACACAAAATTAAACCACTGATCCTTTGTGTGCAAAAGTAAAGAGAGGTTTCTGGTTTGTGAGTACACCAAAGGAAGGGACCATCACTACTTCCTCCTGGGAGAGGTGGAGAAAATGTAACAAATACCTTGTCTATACAAAAAGAAATTGACAGCCAGTATAAAATGAAATTTCCATGGCCTAGAGCACATGTGTCAAACACAAGGCCCTCGGGCCAAATCCGTCCCGCCAGGCCTTGCACTGTGGCCTGCACCGCGCTGTCATCACTGCACTCTGCTGCGTTTCCATCACAATGACAGTTTATGACTGTTCAGTAAACCATTCGGCCCGCGATTTAGGCTGGATTTTAGATTTTGGCCCCTTCTCTGATTGAGTTCGACACCCCTAGCCTAGAGCAAAGATTATCCTTACATGATATTATTCTACAAGGTCATTATAATTTTTCCCAGACTTGGGTTATCCCCATTACATATAATAGTAACTCACATCACGGGGTATCAATAAAAAATCATTTTATATATATATATATATATATATATATATATATATATATATATATATATATATAATTTGTTGGTGCTTGGAGACAAAGGTAACACATCTCTAGATATTTTAGAATTACAACAGCATATTGTACAATTATCCCAAACTTACAAACCAACCCTTTGAATGTCTGGCAGCAATTTAAAAACAACATGAAAGGACTTCATTGCTTCCATTGTGCAGACGGCCTACTGGGAAGGCACCTGAGCATTCTATATTGGCCGGTCTTGCCCTTTTGGCCAAAAATGACCCTCTTCTCATGATCCAGGTAACCACAACTGTTACCTGACCTTTCAGCTTATGCCAAGGCTGAAGCACCATGGTGGCTGATACCATGGATCTCTCTCCTGCCCAGTGGGGTGAGCTGGACCCTCTCTAGAGAAGAAACATGGGTTCTTAAAAATATGAGATCAGCACCTGGGCCTCACCAGCAGATGAGGGTCCCCAAGGCAGATGCTGGGCGTGGAGCCCATGGGGGCATAGGCTACCAAGGAGACAGACCAAAACTCACACCAGAGGATGGCTGGTTAGCCAGAGATAGGAAAGATTCCTCAGGGAAGGAATAACCTAAGACAGGCACAGTCGCAGAGGGGCCATCAGGAGAGAACTTGGGGGTCAACAGAGGTGGGGCACAGACCCTTACCACGCCCCGCCCCTCTGCAACATGGCAGGTGCCTGAACCTTCTCCCATTCTGAGGGAGGTCTCCTGCCCCCATGGCTGCTTTGCTTCCCATGCACAGCTCAAATCGGGAACCAGGTAACAGACAGAGACTTGGCTGACAGCAGCTGCCCTCTCACTGCAACAAGACTTGTTTGAGAGGTCTGGTACCCATGGTATAGAAAAGAGGGTTTTTAATATCTAAATCTAGCCTAGTAGCAGGAATGTTCAGGCCCTTCTCAAGAAGGCAAATAATCATTTCCACTAATACACTCATGGTAAATAAGATTGTTGCTAGAGTGTTGAGTTTGACAGTTGAATAGTAGCCAATTTCTCAGAGGAAATTAAATAGGCTAATGGAAATAAATATTCTAGAAAAACTGGTTGTACTGTACAAAAAAACTGTTCCTAATGTGTTAACAAAAATTCTTATTGGCAGAGCATCTCATGGTAAAATTGAGTAACATGTAATGAACTTAAAGCAGTCATAGTTTATCCCAAATAATTAAAATGTAAAACTATCAAGACTACATTACAAAATTTCCAAAAGTCTCCTATTATTTAAATTAAAAAAAAGGGGTGGACAGTAGAAGAATATCATGTAAGGAAAAATATCCTGCAAATGATTTACATCTAAAAAATTTGTACTTTAGAAAATTAACCTTCATTGGAAACACTAACAGAAAAATACCCACGAAAATACACACATGGTGTCAAAACAAGCCATTTGGGGGGTGGGGGGGAAGGACCCCAAGTCGAATTTATAGAAAATATCCCTTTATTAACTTTTGGTCGAGAATATGTATATTTTCAGAAAACAACTCCAAGACCATCTGGAATCCTGTAACAGAAAGTAATAGACAAAAGTGCTCCAGCCATGAAGACAGAAGAGAAACAATTCAGAGTTAGAAGATGCTGACGACACCTCGCCATACCAGCAGACAGCAGCTGCGTGTTGTTGAAGGATGTCCAGGACCAAACCAGAGATGGTCGAACCTGCATCACCACCGTTTGTCCACCAACCAGATATGAAATAGCATGGCTGACATGTACACATAAGGAACTGTTTGACATTGAAATTGGGACTCAAAAGAACTGTTGGCCCAGAAAGGAACTCACTACAGACTGGTTCATTTGCCTCTCAGCATAACCATTATGGCTTTTCTCAGTTTAGGTTCTTACAAGGGTATTTCTTAGATTATATGATCTCACACATCTAGAGGAAATGATGAACAACATAGACTGATGAACAAAAACAGACTCAGAGAGGGGGTCATTCCAAGATTGCTGACAGGTAAACACCTAGCTGCAGCCATACACAACAATTTCAATAAAATACAACTAAAATATACAATGGACATTACCCAGAACTACAGGAAAGTCGACTGACTGGAAATTCTACAATGAGAAGCAAGGAGAAAACCAGAAGCAAGAGCGGAGGAGCTGTAAAAGCCTAAGATACGGAGACACGCGGCTAAAGGAGGTCCCGGCGGCGCGCACATTGAGCGCAGAGAAGGGATGATTGGCTGTGCCGCGGGATTGCCCTGGCGGGAAGGAGACAGGGGCTCCAGTTTGCTCTGAACGCAACCTCCAACCCCACTTCCAACTGAACTGAACCCCAATACCGGGCTTATTGGGGGAGTGCCTAGACTGTTTGGCAGCAGGCGAAAATCGAGGGCACCTTTCTCTCAGAGGCGTTTGCAACGAGTACTGAAGGACCCGCATGGGGCGGGGCTGACGGAAGCCAAAGCTGTAGGCTCCACCCTGAAACCCTGCCCCATCCAAGCAGAACACAGAGACTTTTAGGGCTACCAACTCAAGAAAGCTGCGAAAATGCTGAGACGAAATAGATCACAAACGAAAGAAATGGAGGACAAAAAGCGACTGGATATAGAGTTCAAATCTATGCTTATAAGGTTTTTCGAGAATTTCCTAGAAAAGATGGATAAGACCTATGAGGATATGAAAAGGGATCAACTAGAATTAATAAGGAATCGACAAGAAATAAAGAATACTTTGACTGAAATAAAAAATATTATACAGAGTCCTAAAAACAGAATGGAAGATCACAAGAATCAAGTCAAAGAGTTGGAACATAAAGAGCCAGAAGACACTCCTCCGCAAAAGCTAGAAGGCAAGAGAATGCAGAAAAATTAAAGATAATGTAAGAAACCTCTGGGACAACTTCAAGCGAACCAACATCAGAATTATGGGATCCCAGAAGATGAGAGAGAGCAAGATATCGAAAACATACTGAAAGAAATAGTGACAGAAAAGTTCCTCCACCTGGTGAAAGAATTAGACTTACAAGTCCAGGAAGCGCACAGAACTCCAAACAAAAGGAATCCAAAGAGGACCACACCAAGACACATCATAATTAAAATTCCAAAAGACAAAGAGAGAATCTTACAAGCAGCAAGAGAAAAGCAGGTAGTTACCTATAAAGGAGCACCCATAGATTGTCAGCTGATTTCTCAACAGAAACCATGCAGGCCAGACGGGAATGGCAAGAAATATTCAAGGTGATGAGTAGTAAGAACCTACAGCCAAGGATAATCTATCCAGCAAAGCTATCACTCAGAATCGAAGGTCAGATAAAGAGCTTCACTAAAAAAAAAAAAAAGCCAAAGGAGTTCATCACTACCAAACCAGAATTATATGAATTGCTGAAGGGGGTTCTTTCAGAAGAGAAAGTAAATAGATAAAAATTATAAACAACAAATAGGTAACTATCAACAAGTGATTCTAAAAACCAAGGAAATTAAAAAAAATCTGATTAACAATATTAACTGTTGAACATAATAGAATCAGAGGTATGGAAGGGGAGTGAACTGATGATTCTTGGGGAAAAGGGGAGAGGGGAATGTGGGAAGAGTCTGAACATAAACTGTGCACCTATGGATTAGGACAATGGGGGTGGGGAAAGGGCAGAGGGTGGGGTGGGAACCTGATGGAGGAGAGCAATGGAGGAGAGGGGGAGAAGAAACATTTGTGATAATATGAACAATAAAAATTTATAAATAAATAAATAAATAAATAAATAAAATGAAAAGGAAAAAAAAAAAACAGACTTAGAGAAAGAGAAGCACCGTACAGACTTTCAAACCTCAGAGGGAAAGTAGGGGAGGGTGGGGTAAAGGGGAAGAGATCAACCAAAGGACTTGTGTGCATGCATATGGTTCTGGCAAGTGGCCATGGACAAGGGGGTGTGTGTGTGAGGGCATAGGTAGGGAGGTGTTTGGGATGGGAATCAGCGGATTAGGACAATTATGTTATACCATAATCAATCAATCAATCAATCAATAAATAAATAAGGTAATGGGAAACTTAAAAAAAATAATGGTTAATTTGAAAAGCAAAGCTATATATTCTGGCATAATGTTCCTGGTTCTAGCTCCAGTGTCTTTCCTCTCACGACACTGTGTGACAGTCCCCAGCTACCAGCACTGTTCTCAGCTGAGAGCTTTCCTTTAAGGCTGCGGGGGCGGGGTGGGGGGTGTGTGGGGGGTGGGCAGGACTCACGGAAATCCTGGCGTCTGGCTGGATTCTGTACTCCTCTGGAAAGGGGGGCAGCTCCGCTTCATACTCTAAAGGAGGGCAGGCAAACCATCAGTTCCACTCCAACTGCAGTCTGTGAGGTAGTTTTCTCTCCTCTAAGTAAAAATTCTTAAGTTCTATCTTGGTTGGGGGTTTACAGAAATGAAAAATAACTGGCCATTACAAGTTAATAATTAATGTGAATTTCCTTATTTAAAATGAATAATTATTCACTTGTGTGAAGAGTCCAGGCTTTATGTAAAGAGTTTAAGACTTTTCCTCAGAATACGACTTTAAATTTTGACCCAAATTATGATAACTACAAGAGAATGAGGAGGATCCTAGGAAGAATATAACATCCAGGGAGGAGAGGGGAGAGAAAAAGAGGAAAAGGTGAGGAGGGTAGAAGCAGCAGCAGTGGGAAGACTCCTGTCTGGAGCACATGACTGGAAAAGCCAGCCCATAGGCCTCACTACTCAGAGCATGGCCACACCCAGCAGACCGGCATCCCTGGGAGCTAGAAATCCAAATCTCAAGTCCGCCCCAGGCCTGCTGGACTGAACCAGCATCTCATAAGACAGGGGCTTGCATTGCGCCGGACACTGGAGAAGTCCTCTGTAAACGCCAGCAGTTTCTCATACTCGCAGCACATTAGAACCACCTGGGAGCTTTTTGAAACTGCTGTTTTGGCCCAGCCCCAGAAATTCTGATTCAGTACTAGGAGGTCTGAGGTGAGAGCCTGGGAATCAGTGCTTTTAAAGTTCTCCAGATGGTTCTTATATGCAGTGAGGTAGAGTACCATTGCCAGGTTTAAGGCTGATCACAGCCCACCTGTTGGAGAGTTTCAGGCACAGAACATTCCACACATGCTCTGCAGAGAAGACTGCTGCTGGGAGAGGGCAGAAAATGCCCGCGGCCATAGCAGTTCCACCTGCCAGGAAAGACTGATACATGTATTTCTGGAAAGGTCAATGTTTTAAAGGTAATTGTAGAGTTGCTTTGCATTGATGAGAGAACAAAAAGGTTTACTGGGCAAGAGGATATTAATGAAATATAGTTGTCCTGGACACAAGTTTTATTTAATTATCTAGTTCCTTAACAGACAGTAGAGCATTTCTAAGCAAAAACATTTTTTTTTTTAAATTACTAGGTATCAGGTTGGAGACAAGTATACCAGGTGTCAGGTGACAGGCAATTTTGATTCCCAAAATAACAAATTATCACAAACTTACTTAAAACAACACAGATTTATTATCTCAGTTCCTGTGGGTCAGGAGTCTGGGTGTGGGTCTCATGAGGCTGAAACCAAGGTGTGGGCCATGGCTGTGACCGCATCCGGGGGCTGGAGTCCTCTGCGAGCTCGATGGTTGTTGGCAGGACTCAGTGTCTGTAGGTCTGGGTCCCCATCTCCTTTCTGGCTGGTGGTGAGGCTGCTCTCAGCCCTAGAGGCTGCTCTCAGGGCCTTGTCACAGGGCAGTTCACATGGTCATTTGCTCATTGAAGGCAAGCACAAGTGTCTTCTGCTTCAATCTCTCTGACTTGTTGAGGTGCTCACCTGATTAGGTCAGGTCCACCTATAATGATCTCTCTAATTTAAAGTGAACTGATTACCGACATATAATTAGTTCAGAAAAGTCTCTAGACAGCAATGTCTAGGTTAGTGATTGATCAGTAATTGGGAGGTAAGTGCACTAGGGGAATCTTGGGGGCTGGGCCACTGAGAATTCTGCTCATCACAATAGTTCTAGCTCTACCACTTTTTTCCCCTCTCAAGCATGCAGATTCACCCTTCTTTCCCCAACCTTTTGAGAATCACCAAAATAGTGTGAAAGCTATTTATCTGAACTTAAGAAATATACAGCTCTATTCCTTTACCTGATTGCCAGAACTTATTGTGAAAAACTTCCAAATAATACAGAGATGTCATGTAGAGAGTATAAATCACACATAATGTTTTTACAACCAACAGCCAGTTAGATTTGGCATAGGTCCAACCTAATCTTTTCAATGCACTTACTAATATACATACATATGCAATACATACATTTATTTACTTTAGATCTAAACTAGGTCAAATCATCCAAGTTTAGAACCTTGTAATAGTGTCCTTTTTCTTAAAAACTCATACTATTGTACTTTTACCTTTTTTGGAATTTGTAAAAAGTAATCTAATAGACTGTGTGTTTTGTGACTGAATTACCGGGTTCTGTTTGTGCTCACCATCATACTCCCACAGAATACTTGCTGAATGAATGAAGCAATGAATGAATAAATGAACCAAATAGTATGGCAAATTACTTTTGACCCTTGATCTACTGATTCATTCCTTGATATTTACTGAGAGCCCACTATGTTGAATCTTTCAAGGCTGCTACAAGTATTATGTACCACATTTATTCAGCCAATGTACTCTTTTGTTGTTGTTAATCCTCACCTAAGGATATTTTTTCCAGATATTTTAGAGAAGGGTGGGGGGGGGGGGTATGGAGAGAAAGAAGCATTGACTGATTGCCTCCTGCACCACCCTTCCCCTGGGATCTAACCTGTAATCCAGGCACAGTTCCTGTCTTTGACCAGGAACTGGAGCTGAGCCCCTTCTTTGTGCTGGCTGATACTTTAACCAATGGGTAACATTGCCAGGGCAAGGAATTTGCTTTTTAAATATGTTTCCTAACAGAATGTAATACTAACCTCGAAGATAGGATTTCCCCCAAATCCTATTTCTCATGTTTGTTGTGAGAAACTGAATTTTCTATGTTTGTTATAGGGAACTGCATTTGTTAGAATATTTTAAGAAATTGGGCTTATTCCTCTAAGGTACAATAGTCATTAGTGTGCCAGTGTGTACAATTCACCATCTTGACCTCTTTAACTTCATGCGTAACCTTATCAAGTCCCTTGCTTTTCGGAGAGCACCCTTCCTGTTTGCTTTCTCCCTACAGGCCTGTTTTACTAAAATAAACCTCATGATTCTGAAACACAATGCAAACCATGTTTCTTTGCCAACAATAACACGTAAATATCAGCACTTCTAAAACGCCGGAAATGCTGCTGAGCTCCTTTGCATACACCACCTTAACCCTCACAATGGGTAGGTACAGGATGACTCCACTCTCAGAGGGATGCTAAGCAGCTTCTCTAACCAACACCACTGGCAAATTGTCTGATGAACAGCTATTTGGCTCAGAAAACTGAAAGGTCTGGGAAAAAGACAGCCACAATAACAACGTTCAAATATCTGACTGGATTCTTTTTTTAAAATATTTGAATGTTATCTCTTGTAGCTTTGATTTTTAAATATATTTCATTGGTTTTTTACAGAGAGGAAGGGAGAGGGACAGAGAGTTAGAAACATCGGTGAGAGAGAAACATCGATCAGCCGCCTCCTGCACCCCCCTCACTGGGGATGTACCCGCAACCAAGGTACATGCCCTTGACCTGAATTGAACCTAGGACCCTTGAATCCGCAGGCTGATGCTCTATCCACTGAGCCACACCGGTTTTGGCTCTGACTGGATTCCTTAGGGTAGAGTGATTAGCTCCAAGAAGATAAAGACCAAATGGGTACAACATTTTCTGAATAGAATGCACCATGCACTGTGCGCATGGAGAAGGAAAGCGAGCACAGGATGGAAGTTGGAATGGATAGCCTTTGAGGGCATCTATCACTCCTGAGTCCACTGTTCTCTTCCTCCTAATTCCCACTTCTCTCAATTCATCACTCTCTCTGACCTGGACCAACATACTATGCATTCGTTCTTTTTTTCAGTCAACATTTCCTGACCTGTACAGTAGCCACTGGTTACAGGTGGCTAACTAAATGTATTAAAATTAAGTAAAATAAAAAATTCAGTTCCAAAACTGTACTAACCACATTTCAAGTGCTCAATAACTGCATGTGGCTAGTGGCTACCACACAGGAAAGTTCTACTGGACAGTGCTGTCAGATGGCTGAGGCAGTGATGCAGCCACAGAATGAAAAAGACGAATTCTTGACCTGGAGGAGCTTACATCACTTTTTTTTTTTTTTTTCCTTCAATGTTTATTTCATTTATCCATAAAACTAGGGACCTACTAACAATATTTTATAACAGAATTCTATATGATAAGATAAAATATTAATTTATTTTATTGGCCTAGTAATAACCAACTAGACAGAGAAATGAGGAAAATATACTATTTTTAGCAGAAAAAATATCTATAAAATTTTCTCTTTATTAAGATATTACATGTGTCCTTAATCCTCTAATGCCCCCCACATCCCCCACTCATGCCCTCACCCCCTGTTGTCTGTGTCCATTGGTTAGGCTTATATGCATGCATACAAGTCCCTTGGTTCATCTCTCTTCCTTACCCTCCCCCTCCCCTGCCTTCCCTCTGAGGTTTGACGGTCTGACCAATGTTTCTGTCTCTCCATCAGTTTGTTATTCATTAGATTCCACAAATGAGTGAGATCATGTGATATTTATCTTTCTCTGACTGGCTTATTTTGCTTAGCATAATACTCTCCAGTTCTATACATGCAAATGGTAAGAATTCCTTTTTTTTTTTCTTTTTTTTTTTCTGAAACTTGTTTGGCTCAGTAGATAGTGTCGGCCTGCAAACTGAAGGGTCCCAGGTTCGATTCTGGTCAAGGGCATGTACCTTGGTTGTGGGCACATCCCCAGTGGGGGGTGTGCAAGAGGCAGCTGATTGATGATCAATGTTTCTAACTCTCTATCCCTCATTCTTCCTCTCTGTAAAAAATCAGTAAAAAAAAAAAAAAAAAAAAAAAAAAAAAATATATATATATATATATATATATATATATATATATGTATAAAGAATTCCTTCTTTTTTATAGCAATGTAGTATTCCATTGTGTAGATGTACCATAGTTTTCTAATCCACTCATCTGCTGATGGGCCTTTGGGCTGTTTCCAAATCTTAGCTGTTGCAATTTGTGCTGCTATGAACATAGGGGTGCATATGTCCTTTCTGATTGGTGTTTCTAGTTTCTTGGGATATATTCCTAGAAGCGGGATCATTGGGTCAAATGGGAGTTCCATTAAAAAACACACACATTACTTAAGAGCTAACATTATTGAGCTCTTGCTATCAATCGGTCAGTTTTCTAAGCACTTTCTGTGACTGTTCAGGTGCATCCCCCTAACACCATAAAATGGGTACCATTTTACGCTCACTTTAGCGAGAGAGTAACGTTAAATAACTTGCCCAAGGTACAAGGAGTATTCTGTATAGGGCCTCAGGATCGGGGGATGTGTGAGAGCCACAGAGAAGGTGAGGGCCCACTGGGAAGGTGAGAAGCGCAGAGGGATTAATCCTGAGAGTGGCTGGCCCATGCTCCAACGTGTGGGCCACAAATACCAGCATCCAAGCTCTCCAGCTCCTGGAAAGGCAGGCTCCTGGGCCCCCGCAGGAACTCAGCGGCGGATAAAGGTCTCAGCTCCGCCTTTCTTTTCCCTGAAGGTTCGCACCCAGGTTCGCAGCACCTGGCCGGTTTTACACTGCTCCCCTCCGCCAAACGAACCGGAGGTCGCGCGGCACCCTCTCAAGCAGACCTCCAGGCCTGTGCCCGGCGCTAAACCCGGGCCGCTTCAATCACCCCGGTGGGCGCCAGCCCCTTGGCCCGGCCCCGCCCCTTGGCCCCGCCCCGCCCCACCGGCACCGCCCCCCGCCACGTGGCACCGCCCACCTTCGCAGATCCGCTCCCACAGGGACCTGCCCGGCTGCTCCGTGGCCTTTCCCGGCTCCGCGGGCCGCTCGAGGGGCGCGGGACACGCGGTGGGAACGGGCTCCAAGGAGTCGGCCCACTCCTCAAGCTGTGCGGAGCGGCTGCCCACCCTCCCGGGCGCCGCCATGGTCGCGGTTTCCACGGCAACCGCACTCCCCGCCCGGCCACGACCCGGAAGAAGCTGGAACACGTCGGCGACTGGCCGGCGTCTCAGGTCGGTTTCCGGGTCACGGCGGAGCGGGTTGTTTGGCGGCGGAGCGGGGCGGCCCGCAGGTGAGGGCCACGGCCGGGGCGGCGGGGACCCTGAGGGCGGGGCGGGGGCCTCTCGCGGCGAACAGGGCACAGCGGGCGCCCGCCCGACCAGAGGCCGCCGCCTCCGGGAAGCCCGCCCTCCTTGGAGCCTGCCTGTCTGCGGGAGGCGCGGCGTGGCGGGCCGGGGGCCCCAGCCCGGCCTCCTGCGCGCCGGCTTCCCGCTCGGACCCAGTCCTGGGCCTCCTGCCAGCCGCTGTTCGCCCGTTGCCGGTTGGGACCCAGGGAAGTGAGTTCGGGTTTGCCAGCCCGAGCCACCGCGACGAGGTGAAAGCGTTTGCAGGAGGCCGCAGCGAGGCGCTTTGCTAGTCCATGAAGGAGCGAGTACTTGGCGGCCGCGGGGTGGGAGAGGGGTCCTCAGTGGGGAGAGGGGATTGGGTTGAGGACAATCTCCCCGCGCCCTTTGTTTCTATTGGCCTTGGCCACTCCTCCACCGCCGCGCTCCCGGGGCCCCTCACTCCCCCTCTGCAGTCTGCACCCTCTCCCTTTCCTTTGCCAGCAACTCCTCCCCTGCGGCCCCCTCCCTAAATGTCGTTATTCCCTAAGGTTCTGTTTCAGACTCTTTCTGTTCAGCGCTTAAATATTATCCATACTAGAGGCCGGTGCACGAAATTCGGGGGTGGGGGGTGGGGGGTGGGGGGGGGGGTTAGGGTGTCCCTCAGCCTGGCCTGCACCCTCTCCAATCTGGGACCCCTCATGGGATAACCAGCAGTCGGACATTCCTCTCACATTCCAGAACTGCTGGCTCCTAACCGCTCCCCTGCCTGCTTGATCGCCCCTAACTGCTGCCTGCCTGCTTGATCTCTCTAACTGGTCCCCTGCTGCCTCGATTGCCCCTAAGCCACCTCTGCCTCACCCCTCACCCAGCACCCAGGATTCCCTCCAGCCAACCACAGGCACCCGGGATCCGTGCTTTCCTCCCTCTCGTCAGCCATAGGTGCCCAGGCTGTGCTGCAACCACAAGTGCTGGCACCTGGGATCGGAGGGTGGGCAGCTTCTCCATCATCCAGGCCACAGCCAGCCGCAAGTGCTTGTGCCGGGACTTCAGGGTGGGTGGCCTGTCCGTCTACCAGGCTGTAGCCAGCTGTAGATGTGGCGCCTGGACCGCAGATGGGCAGCTTCTCCATCTTCCCTCCGATGCAGTGGGGGCAACTTCTCCAGGGCAGGCAGTTTCTTCATCTCCTGGGCTGCAGCCAGCCTTAGGCAGTGGCATCCGGTTTCTTGTCTCCCCCAGGACGTGGGTGGGCAGTTTCTCCAGCTGGCTGCTGCCTGGGATCATGGGGCAGGTGGCTTCTTGGTCTCCATGGCTGCAGCCAGCCTCAGACACTGGCACCTGACTTCTCCGACTCCCCGCGATGGGGCAAGGGCTGCCGCCATGTTTTCGGTTCAATTTGCATACTCACTCTGATGTGATTTGCATGTTTCTCTTTTATTAGCGTAGATATTCCAAAACTTATGTGTTGGCTTAGTCAGCCCTCAGCCTCAGCCCCATATATCCACCTGCCTACCCAACATCTCTACTTGGGTATCTCAGAGCATCTGTTCAAACCAGCATGCCTCCATCCCACGTCATCCTGTCCAGTTCTTTTGACTTGGGGATTAGTGCCAACAACCTGCAGTTACCCAAGCTGGAAAACTGTTCTTCAGAAAGTGTGTCAGTCTGGGTTAGAAACCCTGCATTACCCTATTGCCTGTGTTACTAGAGGCCTGTGCAGGACATTCGTGCACTCAGTGGTCGGGGTGCTCAGCCTGGCCTGCACCCTCTGGCAGTGTGGTGGGGGAGATATACTACACCCTTCGCCAGAAAAAGGGAGCCCTTGGGGGCAGTCCTGATTTTTCTGGTTTGATTGCAGTTATACCCTCTATGACAGGCACAGGGTGGGGCAGTTGGTAAATTTCTGTTGAATCACTATGCTTAAAGACTTGAGGAGAAGGAGGTTAAGCGAAAAGAGTCAACAAGGTAGCAAGCACTTTCCATAGGTTATTTTCTTTATTCTTTGAGAAGTATTTCCCCCATTCTCCAGATGGGGAATTAAAGTTCAGGTAGAATAGGTGAGTGACTTTAAGCAAGGGAGCGATTTGGATTTGAGCCTGGGGTTGAGTGGATTTTAGCACCATTCTATTTCTTTAGTCTTATTTGTCCTGGATCTACAGGAATCATGACCATTTTCCGATTCCCTACCATTTCAGACCATCCACGCAAAGAAACATGACTTTTGGCAATACCTAGTCAGACTGTACACAGGCTGGCCTGGTGTAGGGATAACTTACACCTTTTTTTTCTTTTTCAGAAATGATCACCAAGAACCACAAAGGAGACCTGGGCCTTCGGCTTCCAGAGAAAAATAAGAAGAAGGTAGAACCAGAGACTCAGTACTTGTTTTTGAGCAGTAACAGTTATTACACTGAGGTCTGTCCCACCACAGCCATGTCATCCACGAAGAATGTGATCCAAGGGCGGGCACGCGAGACCCCTCTAGTGAAGAAAAAGAAGAAGAAAAAGAAGGAGCACAGCACCATCTGTGAGGAGCATCTAGAACCTGAGACCACATTCCGGGCCAGGCAGACAGAGAAGTCTCCCAGCCCCAGGACACAGGCTCTTGGTTCATCCGAGTTCCTCAATGGGGAGAAGAAAAAGAAGAGGAAGTCCTCATGGCCTCTGGCCCTGTCCCCTGGTGTGAGGGAGAAGACCTCCCTGGACCCCAGACAGGTTGAGGAAGTGACCAGAGTTGGCAGAAAGCTCAAAAAACACAGGGAGAAAAAGGCCCAGGAGGCAGCAGCCTTCTTAGTTGGGGACCCTTGGGTCTGTGAGGCTCGGGACACCCTGCACGCGTGCTCAGTGGGAAAGGATGACCAGGAACAGGCAGCCTTGGTGCAGAAAAGGCAGCAGAGGGGCCCTAGGGAACACGTGAACAAGAAGAAGAAAAAGAAAACCCACCAGGAGGAAGACACCCGCCTTGGCCACCCCAAGCCCGCTGGGTCCACGGAGAGCAGCCTTAGGAAAAGATGTGCGAAGAAGCCAGTCAAAGTTGAGGCTTCAGAATATATCCCCGTAGGAGACAGCCTCAAGGCCCCTGTGAGGAAGAAAACGAAGCCCACTAAAAAGGTCGAGGAGCCAGGCACTGAGGAGCCAGCTCTGAAGAGGAAGAAGAAGAAGAAGGACAAAGTAGCAGAACTTTGGAAGGAGGTAGGTTGTCCTTCAAGGTGGAAGTTGGGTGTGTGTGTGTGTGTGTGTGTGTGTGCGCGCGCGCGCGCACTCAACTTTTTAGTTTCAGAACCGTGTTTAAACGGACTTAAGGCAGAAGAGGGATTTATTGACATGTGTAACTGACTTCCTGAGAGGTGAGGCTCAGTTAATACTGACTGAAGGACGAACCCCAGGAGCTGGGTCAGCAGGAAGGTGTCTGTAGGGCCTGTGCTCACCTCTGCCAGATGCAGTTGGAAAGGGCGATTGTCGTTATGGAAGGACCAGGGGAAAGGGCCTGGCCTGAGGTCTCACTGTTGGAGTTCCTCAGATGGGGGGAGCCATGTCAGAGTCAGCCAGCGAGGATGGCCCTGGGAGCTGAAGTCGTGAGGGCTTCGGCCTTTCGTGCAGCTACAGCAGCAAGTGCAGAGGGCCTGGCCGAGCACAGAGACTGGGGTGGCGGGGGCTCGGTGACAGCCATGGAGGCCACAGAAGTTTGGATTTTGAGCAAATAAGGTGGGGGCCCTAGGAGTCTTGAGGAGTGGTGACATGATCTGACAGGGTTTTTTTTGTTTTTCATTTTTTATTAAGGTATTATCTGTGTACATATAATTGCCCCCCCTCTCATACATGCCCTCCCTCCTCAGAGTTTTGTGTCCATTGGTTATGCTTATATGCATACAAGTCCTTCAGTTGATCTCTTATCTCCCCCAGATCTCCCTACCCTCCCCGCTGTAATTTGACAGTCTGTTTGTTGCTTTACTGTTTCTGTATCTATCTTTTTGTTCTTCAGTTTATAATGTTCCTTATTATCCATAAATGAGTGAGGTCATGTGGTGTTTCTCTTTCATTGACTGGCTTATTTCACTCAGCATAATGGTCTCCAATTCCATCCAGGTGGCTACAAATGATAAGAATTCCTTCTTTTTTATGGCAGCATGGTATTCCATTGTGTAGATGTACAATAGTTTTTTGATCCAATCATCTGCTGACAGGCAACTAGGCTGTTTCCAAATCTTAGCTATTGTAAATTGTGCTGCTATGAACATAGGGCTGCATATATCCTTTCTGATTGGTGTTTCTAGTTTCTTGGGATATATTCCTAGGAGTGGGATTACTGGGTCAAATGGGAGTTCCATTTTCAGTTTTTTGAGGAAACTCCATACTGTTCTCCACAGTGGCTGCACCAGCCTGCATTCCCACCAGCAGTGCATGAGGGTTCCTTTTTCTCCGCAATGTCACCAACACTTGTTGTTTGTTGATGTTGGCCATTCTGACAGGTGTGAGATGATACTGCATTGTCATTTTGATTTGCATCTCTGACAGGTTCTTTTAAAGAAGATATAGTTGACATAAAGTTGTGTATGTTTAAGCATACAGCATACTCTGATTGAATTTTTAAAGCTCACCTGAATTGCTTGTGGGATGGACCAAGGTTGGGGGTGGGAAAGCAGGAGTTAGACACTCATGGTTTTCTAGGCAGGTAAGAAGGCAGCAGCCAGGACCTGTGGGTGGGGGTAGGTGGTATGGAGGAGAATTGAGTAAGCTTGAGCCCCACTCCCCACACCCATCAAGACCTTGAGCCCACCTCTGCATTTCCTGGCTCTTGCTATCTGCCCCCTCTCCACCACTGCCCATCCCCCACTATAGATGGGGCTCTTGGCCTCTCACTGGTTTGGTGTCACCCAAGGAGGTCAGTTTACTTGTAGCAGGAAAGGTCATGCACCTAGCCTGAGTCAAGAGACCTAGGTTAGTATCAGTCCTGCCCCTAATCTGTGGGGTGACCTCGTGATAGTCACTCCACTTCTCTGAACCTTAGTTTTTCCATCTGTCAAATAGGTCAGTGCCATGGTTCTGAGGGGAGAATCATGGAAGAGAAAGGATGTCAGATATTCTGCAGGTGATGGGGCTTGGGGTGGTGCTGGGGCAGAGGCCAACAGATGCTTGACTCTCACTCCCTTTGCTCTCCTGTGCAGGAGCCTGACACAGACTTAGAGGTGGTGCTGGAGAAGAAAGGCAACATGGACGAGGCACACATAGACCAGGTATGGCCCCATCCTCATCCCCCCCTCCTATCAGGCCACAAGGTCCTGGTCTCGGAAGCACCCACGACTCCAAAGGCTGTCAGGCCGGCTCCTGTGGCCCTCCCTTCCATACAGGGAGCTCTGCCTTTGCCATGTCATGGTGGGAGACCTTCTCTGCCAGCCTGGCTGCAGGCCAGTTGGTGACTTGGAACCTCATGCTGAGGCTCTCCTCCCTGTGCCCACTGCAGGGGGAGAACCTAAAACCAGGGCTGGGAACAGGGCAAACATCCTTGAGAAGCATCCTTTGGTCTTCACTTATATGAGGGTCAGTGAGGTGAGTGAGTGCTCCAAGTCACCTCATTAGTAATGGTCCAAGGCTGAGTCTATGTGGTTACTTCGCTGTACTGCCAGGTTTGTGAAATACCCCAATTCCAGGAAGTCCAGCTCCCACTTACTTATCAGGAGATAGGGCGTAGACAGAAATGGATATTGGGCCACACCAGAACCACTTCTCTCAATGCTCCCAGACTGAGGCCAGGAGGTGCATCATGCAAGCTGGTGTACCCAGCTTCTTTATTAAAATACTAGTGGCCCAGTGCACGAAATTCATGCATGGGGCTGGGGAAGAAAGATGGCCTTCAGCCCAGCCTGCACCCTCTCAAATCTGGGACCTCTTGGGGGATGTCCACAAGGATCGGGCCTAAGCCGGCAGTCAGACATCCTTCTCACAATCCAGGACTGCTGGTTCCTAACCACTCACCTGCCATCCTGCTCACCCCCTGCCCTCCCCTCCTGGCTTGATCACCCCTAACTGCCTCTGCCTAGGCCTCGCCACCATGGCTTTGTCTGGAATGTCTCCTGGTCTAATTAGCATATTACCCTTTTCTTAGTATAGATAGGATATGACATATCGCCATAATTATAACATATCTACCAGTATTACGCTATGGGAATACTACATTCGATAGGAAAGCATCTAATACATTACACTGTATAATATATGTGGTAAGTAGTAGGAAATACTGTATTCGTAGCAATTGGATACATCCTGTGACTTCCCTTCCTGATTTGGGAATGATTCCCCAGTTCTTTGAACATTTCCTGGCCCCTGATGTATTTGGAAAGAAAATAGCTCTGAGTTTGGAGAAATTAAATTACAACAATGACAATTCAACTGCCTCCTGTACTTCCAGCCAGATAACAGGAAAAACACCCCGGGGCCAGCACCTCCTATGGCTGAGCTCCGAGGGAGGAGTGAGGGCCCGTGGCTCAGCGCTAGGCGTGTGGCTGGAGGCACCCTGGGTCCGTCCTGCTGTCAGCTGGTGACTGGGCCCCTCTGCTCCCAGCCCCTCGAGAGCCCCTGTGCCTCCTAACGGGGTCCTGAAGCTGCGCCTTTGATCCTGCTGCCCTCTACTCACCGAGGAGTGGGGTGTGGTGGCGCAGGGCGCAGGTGTCCCATTTTCAATAAGATGTTCAACCTGTGCCCGCTGCACCAGTGTCTGCAGGGGGCCCAAGGGCAGACAGTGATCCTGGAGGCACTTGCTGCCCCCACCAGAACTCAGCCTCGATGGTCTGGGGTGAGAAGCCCCGCCAGACCCCATGGCTGCGACTTGACCCACTTCTTTAAGCAGGCACCTGGTGCTGGGCGCTTCCTCCCCAGCCCTCACTGGAGCAGGTCCCTGTGGTTTCAGAACCGAACTCCAAGGGCCTCCCAAGGTGGCAGCGGCCCTGAGCTCACCAGCTCTCCCTTGATCCCACCAAGGCTTGCTTCTCACACTTGCCTCCCATATGCACATCTCCCCCTCCCTACCTCCAACCGGGGCCAGGAATCGAGCCTGCAACTGTTTTTGGCTGGGATTAAACCTGAGACCCTTCAATCCTTGGGCCAATGCTCTATCCACAGAGCCATACTGGCTAGGGTGAAATTGTTCTATTTTTAATTTTTCACCAATAACTGTTGATTTATTGAATGTAGCCATTCTGGCAGTTGTGAGGTGATATCTCATGTGGTTTTTGTTGTGGGGTCAAACCCTGGGTTCAAAATAAGACCACCGGAGGCTGATGATTTATTAAAAAAAGCAGGCAAAGATTTATTGAAATATCTGGCCAGGACAGCTGCAAGAGCACCACACGCAGGCAGACTCCACACAACTGCACCGCTTCAGGGGCAGGTAGTTCTTTTTAAAGATTCTGAGAAGGAAAACCACTATTTTGCAACAAACTGTTGTTTGGAATTTTCTGCTGTTCTTACTAGATAAAATGTTGCTTTCTTGTTTGCTTTAGCCTGTTTGAAGAATGATGAAGATAAACTTAGCTGTCTGACCTTGTAGGCCAGAGACCAGATATGCCCACAATCTCAATACCATGTTAGGTGCACCTTCTCAATTGGATAGAACTATCTATATTGTTTTTCAAGGCCAGTATCGAGATAACCACTATTAAAGGGCTGGCTCTTTAATTAAAAAAAGGAAGTTCTGCCTGTAACCTTGCTTAGAATTTAAATTCATCCTCCCTAAGCCCATCACGTGATGAACAAAGCAAGTAAGTGAAGGTCGAAGTCAGAACTGTAGGGTTAAAATTCAAACAGCAGTTTTTACCTAAGTATGATTGCTACCATATTTCAGTTTTAATTTGCATTTCCCTAATGATTGCATTTAATTTGCAGTATCACTATGTCCATATGTGCTCTTTGAAGAAGTGTCTATTCAGGTCCTCTGCCCATTATTTTTTAATAAGTTGATTAGGGTGACATTGCTTAATAAAATTATACAGGTTTTAGGTGCAAAGTTCCATAACACATCATCTGTGTATTGTGTTGTATATTCAACACCCCAAGTCAAGTCTCTTTATGTCACCATTTATTCCATTTCCTCTTCTACTCCCCTGATCCCCTTCCCTCTGGGAAGCACCACACTGTTGTGTGTGTCTATGAGTTAGTTTTTGTTATTTTATTAATCCCTTCACATTTTTCACCTGGCCCAGTAACCCCTCTCAAAATGAGTGTTTCTATTTTGTTCATCAGTTTATTTTGTTCATTAGATTCCACATATGAGTGATATCATATGGTACTTGTCTTTCTCTGACTGGCTTATTTCTCTCAGCATAATGCTCTCCAAGTCCATCCACTCATTCACAAAGGGTAAAATTTCCTTCTTTCTTATGGTTAAATAAAATACATTGTGTAATTATTTCACAACATTTTTATCCTCTCATCTGATGGGCACTTGGACTGCTTCTAAATTTTGGCTGTCCTTTTTAATAAAAGGGTAATATGCAAATCGACCCTAAAGGTGGAACTACCAGGAATGACTGGTCGCTATGTCATGCACTGACCACCAGGGGGCAAATGCTCAACGCAGGAGCTGCCCCCTGGTGGTCACTTTACTTCCACAGGGGAGTGCTGCTCAGCCAGAAGCCAGCTCATGGCTGGCCAGTGCAGCGGGGGTGGCGGGAGCCTCTCCTGCCTCTGTAGCTAAGGACGTCCAATTGATGGCCTAGGCCTGCTCCCCCGGCTGCCAGAGGGCATTGGCTGGGCTGACAACCCCCAAGTGCATGAATTTTTGGGCACCAGGCCTCTAGTTGTAAATAACACTGCAATGAACTTAGGGGTCCATATATTATTTTGAATTAGTGTTTCAGGTTTCTTCAGATACATTCCCGTAAGTGGAATAGCTGGGTTATAAGGCAGTTTTTAACTTTTTTGAGGTAACTCTATATTGCTTTCCACAGTGGCTGCTCCAATCTGCCTTCCCACCAACAGTGCACTAGGGTTTCCTTTTCTCCACATCCTGGCCAGCACTTGTTGTTTGTTGATTTATTGGTGGTAGCTGTTCTCATTGTAGTTTTAGTTTTCATTTATCTGATTAAGGACGTTTAGCATCTTTTCATGTGTCTCTTGACCATCTGTATGTCCTCTTTTGAGGAATGTCTGTTTAGATTCTTTGCCCACTTTTTAATTGGTTTGTTTTCCTAGGGTTCAGTTGTATAACTTTTCGTAAATTTTGGATATATTAACCACTTATCAGATGTATCATTGGTGAATATGTCCTCCCATTCAGTGAGTTGTCTTTTAATTTTGTTAATGGTTTCCTTTGCTGTGCAAATAATTTTTTGTTTAATATAGTCCCATTAGTTAATTTTTTTCTTTTTTTTCTCTTGCCTGAGGTGATATATCAGAAAAATATTTCTATGAGAAATATCTGAGATTTTGCTGCTTGTGTTTTTTTCTGGGATTTTTATGGTTTCAAGCCTGACATTTAAGTCTTTAATTCTTTATTAATTTATTCTTGGGTATAGTGTAAGATGGTCTAGTTTCCATTTTTTGCACATATCTAATTTTTTCCAGCACCATTTATTGACTAGACTATCTTTATCCTAGCCTCCTTTGTTAAATAATAATTGACCAGAAAGGCATGGGTTTATTTCTGGGTTCTCTGTTCTGTTCCATTGATCTCTGTGTCTGTTAGTATGCCATCATCATGTAGTTTGATTATGATGGCCTTATAATATAGTTTGGTATCACGTAGCATGATGCCTCCTTGTTCTTAAGATTGCTATGACTACTTAGCCCATTTTTTAATTGGATTTTTTTATGTTGAGTTGTATGAGTTCATTATATATTTTGGATATAATTGCAAATATCTTCTTCATTCTGTAGTTTTCCTGTTTGTTTTGTTGATGGTTTCCTTCACTCAGCAAAATCCTTTTAGTTTGATGTCCCGTTTGTTTATTTTTGCTTTTGTTGTCTTTGTCCTAGGAGACATCCCTCCTATCAAAAACAAACACAAAAACCTGCTAAAACCAATGCCAAAAAGTTTGTGGCCTATGTTTTCTTCTAGGAGTTTGATGATTTAGGTCTTAACATTTAAATCTTTTATCTATTTTGAGTTTGTTTGGGTACATGGTACAAGAAAATGGTCTGGTTTCATTTTTTCTTTTTTTTTTCTTTTTTGCATGTGTACGTCCAGTTTTCCCAACACCATTTATTGAATAAACTGTCTCTATTGTATATTCTTGCATCC